TCCACGTTTTGCACGAGACACGCTTTTGTTGAGGATTTGATCACGAATCAGTTGATTTTAGTTGAGCGGTCTACCGGTTCCTGTGTTGCTTTATCAGACTGATTTTCATCACAAGTGAGTACTTGCTGGTTTCAGTAGCCGCGCATTCCTTACGCCATGTCCAGGCCTGGTGCTTCGAAAATTTGGTGTGCGAGAAGAAGGTTTGTTCCGGTCTATACTCCTTAAACGCATGCCGCGCACCTCAAAGTTCAGCGATTCGAACAACCTGTTGTAACGCCTTTGGCTGTTTCGACCATGATATGGTAGGCCAACTATTTGGGGTTTGACAGTGCCACAAATACATCCACAGTAGATGGACGGAAAAGCAAAATCAACGGATAAATTCTCCTGTGGAAACAGAGTGGAGTCACTATGGGTCCATTCGTGTCCAAATACAACCCTTCACAAAGATTGATTTCTGTTGATGTTCGCTATTCCAACCTTCTGCATCAGGTTTGGACCTTATGAATTCTCAAAGAACATCCTATTGGTCGAGAACATTCAAATGAGGCTGTTTCGGATCAACGCATCACTCTATTAGAATAAATCAGCTATGCATATCATGTCCGTTTACGTCGTTACTCGAATTTGGTATTCTTGAGCTGTTCGCTGCTACTGTTACTAGCACAAATCATTGCTGTTTATGGATGAAAAACTGGTCGTTTCCTCAAGTTTGTTTCCAACCTTTTCAGGAGACTGAGCATACAACCTAGAAGAGTACACATTGAGGAATTCCTCGTATGACCCGGGGCTTACCATTCTTTGTAAAGTTTTGAGACTTAGCCACGTGTGCATCAGAATATAAGCATGCGAATCCCATTACAACACAAAACTAAGTTTATACTTAGTGAAGTAGCTTTCAAAGTACCTTTCTCCAAAAAAGTTTGCTTGCCTCGCTTGCCGGCGCTTTCGTTTATTTATTGCAATCACGCAAACTGTGTATTCGTTACACAGTATAACGCTCATTCAGTGGACAATAGTTGGAATGACAGCGAGGGCTGTTGTCTTTCACGAACTACACTACTGTCATTTGATGAGGTTTTAAGAAAACTTTAATAATTTATATCAGAGGAAAACTTTTGGGAAAAATACCTACGACACTTTTCCTTCTCACCTAAAGAATTCTAGGGCGATCTCCCCAAATATATTTATTTTTATCCGTAAGGCAGTCGGAACGGTAAGTGTTTGTAGTATTACCAAACATTTAGTGCAAGCACTGAAGACGTGATCCTTGCACAAAGCTTGATAACTATAGATTTGACAGCGGTCGGTTGGGAAAGCTATAGAGTAGCTATAGAGTAGAGAAGGGACCGTAGCAAAGGCAAAGTGACGTGCATTCTGGTTTTCAGACCCAACTCTTCTGATAGATGAACTGGTCACACTGCATAGGTTGCGCTGGCTTGGCCACGTGCTGCGTATGCCAGTTGACCGACTTCCTCGAAGAGCTCCTTTCGCACAATCACTTGAGGGTGCAAGAGAGCCAGAGGTGGTCAAAAAATGACTTGGCAGCATAGTGCGAAAGCCATTACCAGCAAACTCAGCTGCACTGGTCACTACCGTCTCCCTGTATGGGGACCCTGAGACGGGCCACATCAATGGCTAGAGACATAGTCAGACATGGGCCAGTCGCGCCCTCAGTGGTTCACGTGCATCCAAGCTATTGCCTTCGATGCATAGCTCCTTTTCCAACCCCACCCCACTTGACAGCCCACTGACAGTGCTGGATTTAAGCACGAATTTATCAGCCCCCGCCTGCAATGCGCAGCTACCTACCCTCCCCCCTCCAAGTAATCAAAACTGCGGCAGCTATAACCATTGTACGACGAGTACGCGGTTAGTACAGCTGACAGTGATGATGATTTCAGACCCGATTGTTCTGAGTTTGGGGGATCACCATGTTCACACTATGCGTGCGTCTTCGCTGTTCTTAAAACTTTAAAGGTCGATAAACGATAGGCTACCAATGTGCACACTGTTGCCACCGCCATTCACTATTGGCCACTATTCGAAGACCCATTGTTTGGTTTGGCGAAATAGGATTTCAAAAGGATACTCTATCTGCTGTAACATCCTTTCTGTGCCTAGCTGCCACGCAACTCGAAGGAAGCACGAGGACTGGGATACTACCAGGTTTCCCAAGCCTAGGCAGAGGAGGTCGGGTTCGAACCACGGACCTTTCGGTCGGTAAATTCATACCCTCACCACTGAGGCATCTCGCCCCTGTTTGGCGAAAGTACAAGGATTCATTGTATGCGTTCGTAGCACACTGCGTCAGACAGTATAATCGACGTACTTCGTTCTTTGTTTGCTACTTTTGAGAAACCCTTAAACACTTATTTCCGTGAATTTGACGAGGAATTGTTTGCCGTTTCAAGATTAATGGGCATTTATTGTGACGGGCTATCCAGAGATTCTCTACAGCCACACGTCCTTGTGCTTGTCTTGACAATGACTAATTGGTCGGCAGTGTTAATCGAAGACAAGGGCCGTTGTCTTTTAGTTTTGATACAATGTAGGTAGTTCGGTCCGGTTTGAGGCGGTTAGATTCGGACGTCGTCAGAATAAAGCCCCCTGCAGCCGAGCAGGTCAGACTGCTGAGTCGTCAGCTCCGGACAGGGTCTCCAAAGAAAACCCTACATTCTCCCACTGCCTTGCGGGTCATCAGAATTTTGAGTCGAAGGCTCAAGTTGGGGTACCTCAACCAAACCCCCTTCCTCGGCCTGGGTAGCCGGGAAATATCATTTGCCCGCGCAGTTCAGCGTCCACCGATGATGAGCGTAAAGCGTTCGAAGTGATGTACCTGATGTGAGGTTTTAGACGTTAGACATGGAAATCGGGAAGTGGCTAGGCTACCTAAGCCTATGCATACCCTCTGTCTGAGACACTAGAAGAATGACCACTGACAGGAAAATGTTGAGTGGCTCCTTTTCTGATAGATATCTGACAGATGACCTTGAATAGGGGCAGTAAATGTCAAAACGTTCCTGGCAGAAAACACCCAGTTAGATCACAGTACCACCCACAGCACCGTAATAAATAGCCCAGCCTGTTTGCCTTTCATAACTCTTGCAATGGTTCTGATGCCTACAGCTTGTTCGGGGCACATATGGATAGATTCAAGTATGTGCTCCGGTCAATCAAATTTCACTTTGATGGCCTAACAACTGCCAAATGAATCCACTATACATTGAGGAGTTGCGTCAAGCTATATTGCAGGTAACGTTTGTGCACTCTTCCTTCAGTTGGTGTGTTCAAATCCCCAATATTTTCTTGGATGATGTTTGCGAAACTCACAATCATGGATGGTCACTATTAGGAGCAAGAATTCCAGCTATTTCGTTGAATGATAAAGTGAAGTCTTTTTGAAAGCGTTTTGGAATGTCGAATGTGTTTCCTGACTCACGACACTCCCACGATTTCCTCCCAGATGTTGCTAAATATCGAGTCGGATGTCCAGTACCGATGAAAGCAAAATCACGAAGAAACATCGTTTAAGAGTGTCGTGGCTGTTCAAGCACGAATGATAAGAAACGAACTTTACTAAATTCGGCTAAGCCACATGGTGTATGCAGAAGCATTTTGTACAGTTACGTCACTACCAGTGAGATAGGCTTTACTGGTCAACCGAAAAAATGAACATCGCCTGATTTGAATGGGACATTGCGGTGCTTCATTTACCTAGCTACCTCGATTACGACCCCGTGAATCTTCTCGGCACCTGCAATTACCTTACTGGTCAACCGAAAAAATGAACATTGCCTGATTTGAATGGGACATTGCGGTACTTCATTTACCTAGCTATCTCGATTACAACCCCGTGAATCTTCTCGGCACCTGCAATTGTCAGGCTATTCGTACCACATGGGTACGCCACCTTTCTAATACAACCGGACTCGCCTGACTTTTTTTGAGGTTCTGCTAGGATGGAATCGCTGTTTATGAAGATAATCCCGTTGAGGCTGATCAGAAGTATTTGAAGCACGCTATATGTCCTCTTCAAAAAGACGTTCCAGCGTTCCGTACAAACAGTTCCTCGTATTAGAAAGCTGAAACCGAGATGAAACAAAAAAATGCTTCAAAAATCGTTCTAATTGCTATGTCTGTTTCTGACAACTTATTCACAAGAATTCAGCTTCGTTCCACGGTTACACGTTTGTCTGAAACCAACCCAGATAAAGACAGCTAAAACAGCCACCCTACAGTTTGTTCATTTCAGTCGACTGCTCTTGTGAGTACTAGAAACTATGACTAATTTTGAAGGGAGGGTGTCGCCACGAGTTAATTCATTGTTCGATCCAGAATTTGAGATGTTGGTCGTACTGTTTGTTGCAAAACACACTTTGTCACAGGTGTTTTTTGTGTTCTTTCACGTCCCAACTTGGCGTCTGGGGAATGCTTTTTTTCCTTGTTTGTCAACCAAAAGCATTTGGCCATCAAAGAAAAATTCGTTTTTGTTCCCATTTGCGTATGCTTGATATAAGTTGTGTCGATTCATGAAATGTTCCCAACAAGTGTCTGTTGTTTCCATCCAAAAAACATTTCACCAAGTGAGAGTCCTACCTATTTCCGACGTCGCGGAATAGTGCAGGTCTGTGCATTAATACGGCGAAAGGTGTCTCGTTCACATTCAAGAGGTCGTGCAATATACGGAACTTAACGCCTATTAGTTTAGAAAGTTAACGAATGGATAAAATACCCATGTTTTGAAGTCATAGATCGCTTGCGCAACCGGACTTGTGAGAACTAATTTTCGCTCCATAGTGGATGTCAATCATCAATCGATCCGGGTCGCTAATAACGAGATTTCGATACCAGCAGTTGAGCCTATCTTCGTTGCACATTTTGAAGCTTTTTCACGGGTATCGGTAGCCACAGTAATTATTGCTGTCAGCATCGTCGACCAACTTGTTGTCGCCGTTCAACAAACCTCTGTTTATTCCACTCTGTCTATTTTTCAATAGTGCTGTATAGACAATACTCCAGAAATGTGTCGGCTTCTGCTTCGATTCGGTGCCAACCCAAATGCACGAGATTCCGAAGGCTGGACTCCACTACATGCAGCTGCTACCTGCCATCATACGGATTTGTGTGCCATTCTAATCGCAAAGTAAGTAACTGGTTGCTGTTTCGTTAACCGCTTCTAAGTTAGAAAAAACTTGCCAAATTATGAGTACATACACCCTAAATGCTTCCGTAGGAAGGAAACCAGTTGTCTGCTTATGTATATTAGTAATGCACTACTCATAAGATCGAAGAGTTTTCAGCAACCTTATGAGTAGTGCATTACAAATATACATATGTGTCGTGATATCTTGAATATCGTGGCGACTGAAACACGAGGCTGCCTGGTGCAATACATTCAGTTGCCTGGAAACATCAAAACCAAGAGGTTCAGCTGGGATTCAGGCAAGTCTGTCGCTAAACCAAATTAGTTTGCAAATAAGTGTATATTCGCATTTGTCTGATTATTCAGTCCTCCGTTATCCACAACTGTAGGAAGGTGCTTGGGCTAATGGACTGCAGCTGAGCAACACTTTTTGCCCCATTTGTCGGTTCTTTCTGACTCAACGGCGGAATCGTTTAGCGTAGCCTTTGCTGCATTACATTTCGGAGAACAAGATGTGATCAGTTCCTGACGAGACAGTGTACAGTCAGCCCACCATTACGCTGAGCTTGAACTAACAAGGATTCTGCTTACTTTCAAAGGCGGATGCACTTTTCTGTACACATTAGCGTTCCAGCCAAACTCATATTTTCTTACTTAGAATCCATCAAAGCTGAGCACGAAACACTGTGAAGTTAGGTCGCAACTCACAGTTGACTGCTTGCAGAGTCTAACTGCACTCGGGTTAACGATGTACTTCGCCGAGTCGACCTGAAAACGAATCCCAGCTGATCGATGATTTATGTTTTTCCGAATCATCATCGTTTGCTATCGAGTATTTTCATACAAGATGAATTTTACTCAGTAGCCATTTCCGAGTGCCTTTCCACGTTGCACTTAAGATGACCTTGGACTGCGAACGTTGACGTGGAAAGTAGTTCATCTATTCGAAAGAAGTTTCCATCTCTGGCGTGATCTTCGACCATAGGTCGTTGAAAATGTCTGTGGCGTTTTGCTGTGTGTCCAGAATTTTATTTACTTATTTTCGCGGTTTAAATGCCGCTAATGAAAACGGATGCTGAATTCCACTTCCACTTCGCTTTTCATGCTCATCCCTTCTGGAAACAAGCCTAAGAAATCCAGGATATTGGTACGGTTAGAATGGAAGAAACTGTGTGAAATCCCTTTTACGCTAAAATGGGAAAACGATGCATGATGGCTGTTGGTATTACGAAACAGTTTGTGTATTTTGATGAAGGTGATGAACTGAGAGAAGTGGCCTTCAGATTGAGGTTTGCAAATCATCACCTGTTATGAACATAGTCAGGAGTAGGTCAGTAGATTTGGGTTGTAGCTCCAAAAACATACAACTTTCTCTGATGCGAGGTGTAATCAAAGTTGTTCCATCACACAATAGACCTTTTGTGGGCAATGGATATAACTCATGGGATTTCAACTCAGCCCAGGGCGGAGCATGTGCTCAAATACACCCGTCCTCAGTGGTTGTATTGCCATTGCATTCAACCATGATGGCGTTTCAGGGTGCGAGAAGGCGACAGAGACGTTCCGCTACGTTCAACTGTTTATTCTAGCCCTCTGACTTCATTTCCCACCTGTTTGTTTCATTCATTCACCATGTAGTTTAAACACAAACGCGCTGATCTATCTGCATAACACAAGCCACACATGATCCCGAGTACCTTCATCCGAGTTTGACCGTTCCTCTCTAGAATTCTCTCGACATTTTGCATAACAAAACTTCCCATCTCTTACAATCTTGATAATTTAGGGCTGTCTGGAATCTAACTCACAGGAGTGCATAATTTCGAGAACCTTGTATTGCGATATCCTATTGGATAATAGCTATTGCCACAGTGTGTTACCATAGGGTAGTCCGCTTTTGTGTAGTCCGTGTCTGTGTATGAGGCGGGGAAATTTATCTGTTAGTCCTTGTCTTGGACAAATGGAATAAACCCAGTTGACCAAGGTTCTCGGATATTTGCCATTCTTCTCTGCGTTTAACGAATCCCCGAACACTGAAGATCGTCAATTTTTTTAAAACTCGGTTGTTGATGTTTAGTCGGATTTACCCGAGTCCACTCAACAGTCCTCAGTCTTGCAAATAAAAACATGATTTTTTGCTTTTCACCTGTTTATGTTCGTGTACGATAGAGGAACACCGTCCACTGACCTCGATTTCTGATGTCAGTCAATAAAAAAGAATGTGATTGGTTTACTTGAGAATGGGATTATGGACAAGATTAGCACGTCAGTGGCGTTCATCCTGTCACTTTCTATCCGGATTTTGTGACTGACCGCGTGGTCGGCTAGCACTGCATAATTCGCTCCCCATCTTGTCCTTATTTTCAGTTCAAGAGTTGAATTAAATAGTTGTAAAATGATTGCGCTCCCTCCCCTTCCTCTTTACTTTGGCAAGACGGTTTCTTGGATGCTTCCGACGGCATATGCCTAACCACTGCAACAAACCAATGGTATTCTAGGCAGTTTATGCTGTCATTGACGATTATGTTGAAGATGCCCGGTGTTGCTGGCCTTTTTGTTGGACAAATGACCAGTAATCTACACATCCTCACCATTACCACCAGTCTAAATTGATGTGGCCGTCATTTCATCGCCCCGATGTCACAATTAAGCGGCTTGATCAGTGTTTACACTAATTGTCTTTCCGGGTGTTCGTCCAGCTCTGACAGCCGATGTAAATGCAGAACGACGGTCTTAATTTGATATCTCATTCAACGGTGATACAATTCATGACTATGTATGTCTATTGTGTATTTTGACGATACAAAGTAGTTTTCGAGAACGCAAACAAACAAACGACCTTCCTCGAGAAATACACTCATTTGCAAATCAATTTGGTTTTCACGGGAGACACAACTGAAACCGGCCGTGGGCTGTCGAAGAGTTTTCAGCAAACTTGTGAAAATATACTGCGATACCTCGAATACCGTGCCAACTGAAACCTGAGGCGGCCTGTGTGGAGCACATTCAGTTGGAAGACATCATAAACGAGAGATTCACTTGAGTCTCCCGTGAAAACCAAATTGATTTGCAAATGAGTGTATTTCTCGAGGAAGGTCGATTGTTTGTTTGCGTTCTCGAAAACTACTTTGTATCGTCAAAATACACATTACAAATATACATGTATCGCGATATTTCAAATATCGTAGCGACTGAAACATGGGGCGACCTGGTGCAGCACATTCAGTTGCCTGAGAGCATCATAAACGAGAGATTCAGCTGGGTTCCAGATGAGTCTCTCGAAAGAACCAAATTAGTTTGCAGATGAGTGTATATTCGCTAATTTCGTGCAATTTGGGTTCAAGTGGAACATGAGGTTGACGGAAACTCGGAGACTGCGCCTACCTGATGAGCCCCAAGAAGGGCGAAACCGGTCGTGGGCTGCCGAAGAGTTTTCAGCAACCTTGTGGGTAGTTTCCTTCATGAAATCAAGCCTCTTATAAATGACCAGAATATTGATAGTCTAGGTTGTAATGATGGCCACCGGTTTGTTTGCTCAAATCGCAGCGCCCACCTCAGCGGACAAAGCATCGGTCTTCGAACAACCACCTGTTTTACTCTCCTTGCTGAATTACTCTCCACCTCCGAGTCCCACAGGTGAACCACTGGAAATGTGATAAATAAAAGCACTTAACTGCCATTTATTAGTCTTGATCGCAGCGTCATCAGGTGGATTTATAGACTCATTTTGATTGGAATGGTGAATTATCATAACTACAAGCATATACTTAAGCTTGTTGCTCCAATTTGTAAGTTTTACGGACTTTTCGCTCATCAAAACTTCCGTGAGTGTCTTAGAAAGACGCGTAATAACCTGAGCATTCAAGTTCTCCGAAAGGTTCAACAACGAAGCTGAACCCCGAAATTTCTTCAAAACCTATAATTGTTTGGGGCTTAAGAAATCGAACTGCCCCTAAAAATAACAACTCGTTCTTTCAGAAAAATTGCCGGCCGCTTTACACCGAACTGTGTTCTCTTATCAACCACCGAGTTGCAGTTGGTGCACTGAAACGAAACAAACGATGACATCTGTTACCCATGATCTTCTTACCATGTCACTCGAACGCCTGATTATTTTGTCCCATCCGACTGATAACGGAAAGCAAAACCCCCTCGTCGTGAATGTTTACGCAGCACCGCTTATCACTAAGAGCCTTAAGAAGAGCAAAATGAGATTTGTCCAATAATAGTAACGGAAAATCCACTAATGCTATATATATATATATATATATTCTAATATCAAAAAGCTGTTGGTGTTGGGCCAGGCCCACTTGGGTCTTGATGTTCCTGCCTACATTCATAAACCTCGCCGCATTAGTTGGACACTGAAATCGCCTTGTCGACGCTCGCATAATGGATCAATCTTCCTGCAACTTAAAAAGGAAATGTACGAAATCAAATCAACATGAACTTAACCGTTCGTTGATAGATGTTGCACCCTTGCATAACACAATAGTTGGTACAAACACAAATTTTGATTCCTACTTTGTCTTGTTTGTCGAATGGTTGAAAATGGCTTGGCTGCAAACCAGCAAACAGTTTCGGTGGAGAGCTCGCTGTCCTGTAGAAGCAGAGAGGTCGGTCCTCTAGGTGGAATCTGCTGTCTACTCGAATATTACTGCGTTCTATCTTGGGATCTAGTAAACGATTTCGTTTTTACTAAAAAGGTTCTTTTTTTCAAACGAAGATGAATAGCTTGGCGCCTACACTTTTTTTCGTGTCAGACAGGGGTATGGAGAAATGGGAGGAAGACTAGTACTGGATAAACCAACCGTTAAAAAAATAACCATATATGTTGTCGCGCATATTCCAGTAAGTTTGTCTCATGGTATATTGCTCTTCGTTCTAGACAGGTGATCAATGGCAGCACTGAACAACTGCCCTACCCCATCGCTTCAGTCTAAGTACTTATTCCACGCCAGGGTAGTCACAAGCTGAGAATAGGAGCTGATTAACTGTTT